ATAATATAAATAAGTTAATTGATAAAAATATTAGTAGGTTTCTTAAATACTGATAAAACTGATCCTCACATTTGACTCGATGCATGATACTAAAATAAAGTGAATAATAGTAATATAATTGTAATAGTACAACAGCATAGCCAACGTCTTTCACCGTATGATTTATCCAAATAGACTGTTCTTAGATTTTGTAAGATCTATTCTTTCTAGAAAACGATAAACACGTATCTCGTTTTTTTTTTGTTACTCTTTTTAGACCAACGTTTACTGTCCACCAGTGGCACAGCTGTAAGCTTGGAGATTTCTACGGTTAAAATTAAGAGTTCAATCCCCGCAGCGCTTATAGCCTGTTGTGTAACTTTGCATAACCGTAAATCTGCCCGTTTTAAAACCATGACTTACTCGTTGTGTGCAAGTGTTTAAACAAATTCTGTTTTATTTCAGAAGAAAAAAATTATTATATATTTAGTTGTCAAAAATGCACGTCATTCCTTTTGTTACGGTGCATCTGTTCCTTTTGGTTTTAGTTTTGCTATGATATTAAAGAGAATGTCCATTGATTCGTCATTTTATGTGATGGTTGACGTCAGTGCACTTGAACGTCAACGACTTTTTCGGGATCCGGGAGGTTCAGGTATGAAAATTCCACCTGTTCCTCCTGCACGCGAACGCGTAGGTTAGATTTTGTTTGTTGAATTTCGCACAAAGCTTTTCAATAACTATCTGCGTAACAATTCCAGAAACTAATCGTCCAAAACAAGAAGTATCTAGAATCTAAGAAAACCGATACGTACACTGCATGGTATTATTATTTTTTCTTGTAAGGCCTGCTTACTTATAGATAATGTTCACTAGCTTTGGTATTCGCGTGTTATCGTTGTTTTACGAAGTTCATATTGTACCTATTTACTATACACTTCATGGAAGAGATGTGGTTTACTTTATGGAACCCCAAGAAAAGCAAATATATAATTACAAGATAATTCACTAGATGGCACTGTGAACACTTAGAATACTTGTCACAAGTGGGCAGCTTAGTGATTTCAAAACAGTGCATATAGGAAAATCGAGTAATCAGAGCATTCTGAGAACCTATCAGAACTATCAATTTTTTTTTTCTTTCACAAAAAATGTTTTTTTTAATGACAAAAATATTCTAAGTTTATACTTTTTTGTGTTTAATGACAGTAAAATATATTTCGAATTTAAACATGAAACATTATTCCGTCTTGGTTAACGGAATATCAGCCTTTTTTTATCAGAATTTTTTTTATCCGGACTTCAATCCCCATATCCACAGTCAGGTAAATAACTAAATCAACACGAGTCCATCACTTTTCATTCTGTGTTTCCCATCCAACAACTTGTCAACAAACGAACATAAACTAATAAATAGAAAACTTAAAAATTCGGCTCCCGGTCACACGGGGAAAAAAGCAATAATCACTCAAAAAACAAAACAACAGATCTAACCCCGATAACTTCCGCCCCATTAATTTGTTAAGCTGCCTTGGCAAACTAATGGAAAAAATAATATCTAACAGACTTCTTCCCTTCTGTAAAACAAACAATTTACTAACAAAATGCATCAAGAAAGAAGAGACAAACAATAGACCATCTAACGAGATTAACAGTATCCACAAATCATTTAATAGTTATCGAGCTACCATAGGAGTATTCTTAGACGTTAAAAATCATTTGATAGTGTTTGGATATGCAGCTTCCTGGCTGATAGTTAAAGTAAACAACACATTATCTAAAACATTTAATATTACTGCAGGAGTGCCGCAAGTATCAGTTCTTTCGCTATTCCTATATATATATAATTTTTGTAAATGACATCCCCACTCCCCAATCTGTCTGGAGCATATCTGGAAACCCCCTAATTGCAACTGCAAGAGTTCAGAAATCACTGAATTTAATTCTAGAATGGTGTAACAAACGGCGAGTTATATTAAACCCAACAAAATAAATAGGTAATCGCTTTAAAAAAATTACGAAAACACATGACAACTCCAAAGAAAATCAAATTAAAGTTAGGTTTGTTTGTTTTGTATTTCGCGCAAAGCTACTCGAGGGCTATCTGCGCTAGCCGTCCCAAATTTAACAGTGTAAGACTAGAGGGAAGGCAGCTAGTCATCACCACCACCCACCGCCAACTCTTGGGCTACTCTTTTACCAACGAATAGTGGGATTGACCGTCACATTATGACGTCCCCACGGCTGAAAGGGGCGAGTATGTTTGGTGTGACGGGGATTCGAACCCGGGCCATTAAAGTTAGGAGAACAGGAATAAAAATGAACAATAATATTGAATTTCTCGGTATCACCTTTAACACACTTCTAACATAGAACAAACACATCCAAAACATATACGCCTGAATTAGCAAACGCATTAAACTGTATCAGACTCATCGCTGGTAAACACACAGACTGTACACCAGAAGCATCTTTAAAAATATACAAAACATTTATACACCCTCCCATAGAATAACGGCTGTCAGATAACATTCAACATGTCAGAAAATAACATAAAAAACTACAACTGTAACAAAACAA